CTAAATGAAAATGTTTGTGAGTGTGGTTTCTTTGATATGATACAAAAAAAAAAAGCATGCTCTTTTTCAGATTAGAATTTTTGGAAATCTTTCAGTATTTCATTTGGTTTCATGGAATCCAGTGGAAGCACAGCTGGGCCTGTGCTCTGTGTTTTGGTAAAACTTGCCCCCTAAAATCCATGCCTGTGTTTGGTGATTTAAGGCCATTTTTATTGGGTAGGTTGTTACCTTCAGGTTACTTTTTGTGTATATAAAGAACATCTGTAACTTGTAGGCTGTTGGACAGGTGTTGCTGTTGCACCTTGAGATGTCTGAAAAGACATATCGATTCTGATTCTAAGGCTGTTGTATTTCTTGAAATTTTGATTAGGTTACACTATAGTGTCTGTATGCATGATTTCAGAATAGGAAACTCGTGCAGAAGGACGCTTGACTTGCCTAAGACCATACAGTGTCGTGGCAAGTAGTTGTGTAGACAAGCACCATTTTTTTTAATCATCAATAAAATAATTATTTGTATAAAATAAGGACTGAACATCCTACTACTTAAGTATATGTAATGTAATACTGAATTTTATAATTAGATATGAAACATCACGTTACTTCATAGCATCTTAATTTCAATAGACAATAACTGTCTTTATTATCTGTGTTTCTCTGTAATTTCCTTTTAATGAGCTTTTTTTGTTGTTGCAGGAGTATGCACGGAAAGCGCTTGATTTCATTTGGGAAAAGAGGCAGCGCAGCAGCAATTTAGTAGGCGTTACTATTAATATTCACACTGGAGACTGGGTCCGCAAAGGTGCGTGGTATTCTGACTCAGAATCAGGGACCACAAATGGTTTTGGGCAAGAAAAAAAACCCTCGACACCTCATCGACAACGCATTGATCTAGACTATTTAAAAATGATAGTGGCATAGCAAGTGGAGTTACGTAATTTCAGTGCTGGAAAAAGCTGCTACAACAAAGCCTGGCTTTGCTCGGAATGGCGTGTTTTGGTAGAGAAACTGGCTTTATTCATTGGAAATAAAGTGTTCTCTGTCTCACTTTAATGCTGAGAGGGGAATATCTTGGGGAAGGTTTTCAGAGATTCTACGATAAATACATAGCAAAAATATAAATAGGACTGTGGTTGTATACGGCAGCCAGTAGAAATCTTTTCGTATGAGAAAAGTGAAACAACTGGCTTCAGAGTGTGTCTGTTGGTATTACTGTGTGCACTGATACTACAAAACTGTGTAGACGTACAGTATTGTGTCTCTGCATCAATCTGTGCCTTAATTCTGGTGATAGGAGGCTTTTCCTTTTGCTGAAAGAACATTGAAAATCAAAATGAAACTGTGTGAAAATAGCCATATCGATACTTAAAGTAAAACCACCTTTTCCTTTTCTGCTGTTTCTAGATAGTGGAGTTGGAGCAGGAATAGATTCCTATTATGAATATTTATTAAAAGCCTATGTCTTGCTGGGAGATGACAGTTTCCTGGAAAGATTTAACACAGTAAGTTAACGCCTCGCTCAGGTTTGTGCCTTCTGTAAGACAAATTTAAGACTAATTATATTGTCAGTCAGCTGTTAGCTTGGGAAGCCTATGAAGAGATCTTTAGCAGAATTTCTGTGACTTCTGATGTGTCTAGTGCCAGTTCTTTTTAATATGATTTTTTGCTAAGCTTGGGTGAACTGTGACCCGAGCAGCTATTTTAACCCCATTCGATGAAAATCAGAATCTTCTGGACCTTTTTCCATGTTTCCAGTCTTCCGCAGGAGAAGTTGTATTTCAGGATCACCCTGGAGAGTGTAAGAGTGCAAATGTTTCTGTAAAGCAACATGAGGGCTTGTTACATGTTACAAGCCGTGGTACAATTTGTTCCCATCCTGAGCACCAAAAAAGATCTGAAAATCCAAGTCTGGATCTTGCATTCCACTGCAGATCCGAAGGCCCAGTATACAATGAAGTATACATACAAGCTAAAAACCACATCTAGATTACTAAATTAATAGGATTATGAAGCAATTTTGTCAGCATCATTATCCTTTCATGAGACCGTTCTTTCTTTTAAAAATAGCAATACCCAATAAAAACATTTTATATCATAAAATGATTTTATAGCATAAGTAGTATTAAAATTGGAGTAAGTCGGCAGCTGAGGACCAGTTGCAACACTTGAAGTGTAATGATTATTTCATATTCCTAACCTGCAGCCACCATTATTATATTGTGCCTCAGTTATGTCTGTTAGCTGTTTCCTGTTGCTTTGGCTCATGTGCTCACGATTGTACCTTCTGTGCTTCAGAAGGCACGGCAGGCAGCTATCTTGGGGAGTATAGAATGGGAAGTCAGCAAGTTGACTAGTGAGCTACTGGGTTTTAAAGTTATTTTGAGCCATCAAGTCCAGCTGCTGCTTTGGGCTGTTTTATACCTCCTTTTCCCCTTCTCCTCCTGAGATGTGTTTGCTTTAGAGTTCTCTTGTTCAGGGAAACCAATTTTGGCTTTTTTTAGCATTTGCTTAAAGGTTCAGCCAAAACAGATGTGCCTTAACTGTGATAGTTACTTGTTTATCATATGGCTGCTGAATATAGTTTTTTTGTTACGTGTATTGTTTGGAAAAGATGATGTGTACTGCATGGGTAATACTACGGAGCTTTGCAGTATTTACTACAGTTCTTTTTACTTTGCAAAACTAGAAACTACTCTGTACTGCCAAATGTAATAATGATTGAAGCAATATGCCGTAGTCTGGTGATCTATATCCGTTATGTAAAATGTATCAATAATACGAACTCATGGTTTCTCTGTTATTTGTCAGCACTACGATGCCATAATGAGGTATATTAGCCAACCACCTCTTCTTCTTGATGTTCATATCCATAAACCAATGCTAAATGCTAGGACCTGGATGGATTCTTTGCTAGCTTTCTTCCCTGGATTGCAGGTAAGGTTTAAAACCCATGTGCAGATGATTTTAGTAACAACAAAACAACTAAATAGACCAGATACATAATTGACAAGTCAAGCTTAGTAGTCTGATTTTCAGAAATACTGAATGAGGGTTTCTGTACTCACTCCTGGTGTCCCTTCAATGCCGTGATGCAAGTTATTGTGCATTTCTGGCCATGTTGAGTATCAAGAATGTCTGTGTGATTTGCTTGCTTCATTCCTAGTCATGAAAACACTCAAAGTAAGCTGTCTTTTTAGTAGTCTAGTGACAAATTTTTTCATTTGTGTGCAATTTACATCTCTAAGTCAAACTAAGTCACATTTCCACCACAGTTCTCTGTAAATGATGGAGATCCTTGCTCTACGTAGGCAGTTGTCTTAGTGACCTCACTGATTTTGCTTAAAAAGCTCTTACGGAATATCTCTGGGTTACATTTACAGACTGTATCTGCTGGAAATGTAGAAATTGGTCTGTAGCTTTACATGAACACAGTGAATGCGCCTAACTTTGAATATTATTGCTGTGTATGGTGAATTTGTGTTAATTTTATTATTTCCTTTTAGGTGTTGAAGGGCGATATTAGACCTGCTATTGAAACTCATGAGATGCTGTATCAGGTTATAAAAAAGCATAACTTTCTTCCAGAGGTAAAGTAGTAATTTTTTCATTGTGTAAACTGATTCTGACCTTAATTTGAGCAGTCTCTGATATCCGTTTGAAGAAATAGTAGGTATATGCATTATTAAAGGCAAAGGCTCATTTCCATGGCATTCTTATGTGATTTGCATCTATGACAACTGTGTTTTGGATATGAATTATTTTTCCTTCAGTTACGCTGTAATTAACACAATAGTACGAAGCTGCTGCTATTAATAATTGCTTAGGTTTTGTATTTCAGCCTTCAAATTTGACATGACTCATTTCAGGATACAAAACTTGTATAAGCACACGTAGTACCAGCTGCTTAGTCATGTAATAGCATTAATGCTAAAGATCAGTCATCTTTTGTAACCCAAGACTGGATTGTTCTGAAATTTTGCAAAATGTCCTTGAAAGCAGGTACACAAACTTACCTGCATATATTGCAGGTGCAGTCTTTCAGCAAGTTAATTGTGCATGGAAAAGCTTGTTTACCTGCTGAAGTGTGTCTTAAATTCTGTGATGACCCAGAATATGTGAGAAGGATTCTGACTCCATTTGTAATTTTGAATTTTGCTCTCGTGTAAGCTTAGTTCTGTTAGAGAACATTTTAATTAACATTACAATTCACCTAATGTGGAAATTGAGACCAGAGAATGCTCTCTAAGCACTGGAATGACTTTTTTGAGTGCTTTTAAAATGGTATGATTTGGTTCCCTAGGGTTGTTTTTTCAGTGCTTTGTACTTCCGAAGGAAATGTTGAAGGATCAGTTAGTTGTGTTTAATCCAATATGCCATCCCCTTTAGCAAAGACTTAGCTTAAACCCTCATATGGACTAGTAGTGGATGTAAGCCATCACAGAAGTGGCTTTTGCCGGTGCCTGTTAAGAGGGAATACATGGACTAGGAAACTTTTAAGTAGCTGACTTCTGTTCTGTGGTATTTCTCATGTTAGAAGTAGCTCCTTACCATCCATCCGTCTGAAATGGCAGATAATGCGCTGAAGTATCAGGTGGTGGGTGTGTGTGCACAAATGGTATTTGTCAGAGCTCGGGTGGTCTCCACGGAGCGGCCCCTCCGCAGGCTGCTGTGGTGGGAGCGAGGGGAGGCTGCCCGCTGCCTCCTGCGGCGGGAGAGCAAGTTCTCAACTGGCACCTCTCGCCACAACTCCACTTGCTGGCCACTTGTTAAGAGGCTGGGTGGTGTCCAGACTCCTGCACCAACACAAGCTTATATCTCACTCGTACCAAGTGGGCTAGAGCTCTGGGTTAGGTGTTAGCCTCCAGTCTGCTACCTGGACAGAGGTTCTTGTAGCCTCCTGAGATTGATGTTGGGCCTTCAGACTTCCCCTGGCGTGTACTTTAGCTGTTGTAATGCAGTTAACGTAGGATTCAAAATAAACCTGTTTGGTTTTCATTCTTGTATTGATTTTTGTCTGATCTTTTTTCTTCCTCAGGCATTCACAACAGACTTTAGAGTTCACTGGGCTCAGCATCCTTTAAGGCCTGAATTTGCTGAAAGCACTTACTTCTTGTATAAGGTAAGACTACTTTTATTCCTCTGACTTCTGGTCACTATGTCTAGTACCTAGAATTTTGTTGATGTTTTATTTCAGTGTAGAATGAGTAGCCTATCTCCAGCTTATTTTATCTGATGGAGCCAGTTCTGTACATAAACAAGATGAAATTATTGCTTATCAAAAATTGTTCTAGGAATTTTGGTTTATATGCCTTCAATTAGAAAGAAAATTCTTGTCACAAAGGCCCATATTTTTAAAGATATTTAAGTGTTGATGATCTCCTGTGAAGAGATCTTAGAGACTAAGAGCAAAAGCCACTTGTACCTTCCAGAGAAGAGCAGTGCCTAAACGTCTTGTGGTTCTGTAAGTATTTCCACGTGCTTACCTGCATATCTCTAAACAGTAACGCATAGTATCTCAGAAGTCTCTCTTGTGACTCTTTAGCACCATTAATAAATTAGATTTTAATGTGGAATCAATAAATTAGCATTAGGAAAATAAAAGCTGCTAAATGTATAGTAAGTCTAAGTGCACCTGTATGTTTGGTTTTGGTTTTTGTTTGTTTTATAGGCTACTGGAGACCCTTACTATCTAGAAGTAGGAAAAACACTCATTGAAAACTTGAATAAGTATGCAAGAGTACCGTGTGGGTTTGCTGCAATGAAGGATGTTCGTACAGGAAGTCATGAAGACAGGTAAAAGTTTGCAATTATTTTTTTTTTCATAAAAAGATTATACAAAAAAAAATCTAATTACCCTGTTTATACAATTGACTTAATTAACTTTTGAGTAGCTGTCTTTCTTCAGTTTGATAACCAAGTATTAAATTACCCGTTTGTCATTGTGTATAAAGTAATTCAGTAGTTTTATAGTTTGTTATGTAAGAATATTTTTAGTTTAATGTTTCATTTGTCTTGGAGCAATAGATGAATTACTTTCAAACGAAATATACTTCAAAACTAGAAGTTTTCAAAGAGATTTATTTGGTTTTTTCTCTAATGCTGTTTTGTACTGAACATGCTGAATCATTTCCCTCCAAACACAGTTCCTTCCAAGTGGAAGGAATGCTAATGGAATTAAGTTCAACAATAATAGTCATGAAGTCTTCAGAGATGGAGCACTATGAGTATTTGTTTTACTGATGTTTTAGACAAAAGGGATCCTTCCTAAAGGACATCAATTTTTTTTCCATAGAATGGACTCTTTCTTTCTGGCTGAGATGTTTAAATATCTTTACCTGCTGTTTGCTGACAAAGACGACATGATTTTTGACATTGAAGATTATATCTTCACTACAGAAGCTCATCTATTACCACTTTGGCTTTCCACTACAAACCAAACCATCTCTAAAAAAAATACAGTAAGTGAGAGCTCAAATTTAAATCAGTTTTAGTGGTGCTTTGAAGCAGTTCCTTTTTTACAAGAGGAAATAGAAGAAAACTCAGGAAAAATCATAGTTTGAAGAAGTACACCAGTTTTAACACTTTGTTTAATATGTTTCATCATGTTAACAGTGACACTCACACGAGTATGAACTCAGTGACTGGTTTCTGCACCACTGAGTCTTGAGAAAAAAGCTGTGGAATATTAGCAATATTTAAAAAAAAATAATTCTCCATCTCTGTATAAATTTGAAAATAACACACTATGATAGTTTTATCTTCATCGTTATTTTCAATTATTTTTTCATAAAGATTTCCAACAACATGCCAAAGTTTTTGTTGCTTATTTTACTACACAAACCCTTGGCAAATTTTGAAAGGTTTTTGGAGACTGCTACAAAGTTACTGTGACAAGATCAGGCTATAGCTTTTGGGATATTTAATTGTTTTAGTCCATGCAATAGGCATCTATTGTGTAAATGTGAGAACATTTAAGGGTTTATAAATTACTTAATACAACTGCGCCATGAAGCATCCTTTATACTGTTCTCTTTTGGTTTTGTGCTCAATAAGGTGACGTAATTTATCTTTAAGGCAATAATACTACTGGCAAGCAAAAGAAAGGTGTGACAAAGTGAATAGGGAGGTGTCTAGAGCATGGGGGATGTAAATTCCCTTTTGTTAGTGTGCCTCTGTTTTTACCCTTTAATATGTGTTTTGCAGTAATGCCAGGATCAGAGGAAAATGCTTGTATTATGCGTCAAGCCATATGTCCTGGAGAAATCTTAGAATTGAGTAGGAAGCACTCTGGTTTATGGACTCTAGCATTGGACAGTGAAAAATTTTCACTTACTTGCTCTTAATGTCTAACATTGGTAATACATTTAATGGGTCATGGGGTTGATTTTTCATGTTCCTCAGTGGTGGAGATCCTGCACCCTCTGAAGTGTTCTTTCCTTGAGCGTTTATCATCTTTTGTCTTTGAGTTTTGGAAACAGAGACTATGTTTTTTAAACTATGCAAGAAGTTTTCTGAAGGGTCTGAAGGAGCATTTTATATAACTTTTGTTCCCAACATGAGAAGTTGATACTCTTGAGAGACAGGATTCCCTCAGCCGGATGCTGCATGAAGTGCTGGCCTGACATAGGTAGTTCTCTTGACAATATCAAATGCTAATAAAAGGACAATAAAGAGAATGGAGTAAATTGTTCAAATGCAATTTCCTTCAGCTCTTTGTTAAGTGAAAGCTGCTAACGTGCATAATACAAGTAAGAAAGATCCATTGAAAAGGGTGTCAGCAGCATGCGTTAAGTGGCTGCAAAGACGTGTGTGAATGGAATTTATCTGATGGGGGAAAAAATTATGAGGAACAAATGGAATGTGTAAATTATTTCTAATATAAACACGATGCTATTAAGATGAAATGTCTGTGAGATAGTTGGCAGTAGCAACGGAACATCCTGTTTGTATTTATTCTCATAAACAGGAAAGGTCATGTCTTACTATGCTGATGCTTGCAGTAATGTAGGCACGACCTTCTTTAAGTGGTGTGACTACTGTTTGTCACAGTAAGACTGTAGGTACTTCAAAGTATTTATTCCTGTAAACTACTAGCCTTTTAGGCCTTGGTTTTTAGGGAGCCTTTAAATACTTGCTGTGTATTAGCTAATAAAAAATCAAATTGTTTTTTTGCAAGTAGATAAATATTACATTCATTTTTATAAGTGAGAAAATTAACTTGCCAGTTATCCAACCAGTGATTTGCAAAACTAAGAACAGGCTAAATATGGCTCTGGATCACAGTACGTGTTCCACATGGTTCCACGTGTTACAAAACAGCGATTTGTGCAAACATTAACTCTGTCATCTTTTCTGAACATAGAGATTGTTTGAATTTATATATAGATTCATCCTTGCCCATTCAGAATTGAGTCTGTATGGTTCCTGAGGAGCAGAATCTTTTGTTTGCATGAAAAGATGTGACATCCTAAGTAATACGAAGCAAGAATTGCCTAAGGCCTGCAGCTGGTCAGCTCAGCATCAACGGAATACGAAAGGAAATCATAACTACTTCCTTTAGTTGTCCAGCACATGATAGTACAGGAGCACTAGCTGTGTCGTGAGCAGGCTTGAGAAGTACTGTTTGCCAGTAGAGGATTGGGGGTTTCTGCAAAAAAAATTCTAGAAGCTGTGGATACAAGGTTGGTAAGTTACAGATTAGAAGTGGTGTTGTATTTATCTATCTTATCTATCCCTAGAAAGGGGTTGTAGTGCACTGGGTACCCTTCGTTGGGGCACACAAGAGTGGTGCATTCTGCATTCCTGGAGTCTCTGTGGTTGCAGGACATCTATTGCATTCAGCTGCTCTATGTCCTGCGTACACAGATTACTTCAGGGTAGGTCTGTCTGTCGATTTTCGTCATATAAACATGTCATCTGCGTTTTTAATAGGTGATGTGTATCTTTTATTTCAGACTACAGAATACACAGAGCTGGATGACAGCAACTTTGACTGGACCTGTCCGAACACCCAGATTCTCTTCCCGAATGACCCAATGTTTGCTCAGAGTATTCGTGAACCTTTGAAAAATGTGGTGGATAAGAGCTGTCCTAGGGGTATTTCCAGAGCGTAAGATGGATATTTTCTGTCTTCTGTTAGTGTAGGAGTGAGTGCAACAGTTCTGAGCGGAAGGAGAAATATGAGGTGTTATTGGAGCTTGCTCTGCTTGAGTTTGGACTCCTTTTGGAACGGATTTCTGTTAGCGTAGGAGTGAGTGCAACAGGGTCTGTTCTGAGTGGAAGGAGAAATATGAGGTGTTATTGGAGCTTGCTCTGCTTGAGTTTGGACTCCTTTTGGAACGGATAGCCTGAGCTACAGGAAAAATCAGTTATGTTTTGTCTGGCATCAGCAGCAAGACTTAGTTCATTTCC